TCTGCAGTCCTTTGTTGCTGTGCTGTGATAAGATTATTACCCCCAGAGCTTCTCATTATTGTTACAAAAGGGAGAGCAACTGATTAGAATGTATATGACATCCTTGGTAAAGTAGTATAATTAACAAATAGCAGTAGCATCAAACATAGCTTAAAAATGGATGAATTGTGGTAACTATTAATTTTGTACCTTAAGCCATAGGAGCAAAATCTACCATTATATACCAAAACCCATTGTAAATTGGAAGCTTGAATGTAAAATGTTTTTCCTTGGAAATTGTTTACCTTTTGGCAGGGAAATTTGAGAAGGATGATGGATAAAATAGGTAAGTAAAGAGAAATAAAGTAGAAGCAAAAATAGAGGACAAAACATGGTCATACAAGCTTTGAGACAGAAAATAAATGAAGGAGTAAACACATCATTATTAATTAACTAGAAATATTAAAGACTAGTCACTCATGAAAATGATTCAATCTAGAGAGATAAATTGAGGAAAAGGTGAAATAAGACAAATAGATTAGAACACAAATATAGGTAAAAGAAGGGGACAAAAGGAAAAGGAAAAGGCCAGGGAGATGGCTCAGTGGAATAAGCGCTTCCCTGGCAAGTGCAATGGCCTGAGTTCAATCCCTGGTTCTGCAAAAAAAAAAAAAAAATCTTCTCACTTGGGGCTGGTGAGATGGCTCAGTGGTCTAAAGCATCTACTTAGAACAAGCTTAGCAAAGCACAAATACAAGTAGATCTGCTTATAGTCCCAGCACACTGGAGGCTGAGATAGGAGGATCATCTTGAGCTTGAGATCAGCCTGGCCTACAAAGTAAGCATCAAGTCTTGACATTTGGCTGAGCAACCAGGTGTAAGGAATGGAACTCAAGCCCCAAGGTAATGCTGTAAGCTGGCTTTGAGCAGGGCCTAACACTATCCAGGACAACCTTGTCATTTATGTTTGTCCAAAAGTCAAGAAACACCTTTATTTTTCTTGATATCTATGATTGATGTTTATAATTGCTCTCTTAAAAGCTGACCACCTTTCCCCCTAAAAATGCTACTGGACTCCTTAATGAAAGTTTATTTTTTGAGACAGGGGCTTAACCATGTAGACCAGGCTGGTTATAGGTGTGTACCACCATGACCAATGAAGGTTTGCTTTATAAAATGTTGAAATACTTAATGCATGGCTTTAATTGTAAAGTGTAATAAGATAAATATACTGAGTGAGGGGCATTTAAGCAGTCTGTGGCCAGCAGCTGTATTTTAAAATATTTTAATTTCTGAATAGGTAATACATGTAATGTTTTAAAAGGGCTTACAGTGGAAAAAAAACTATACATTATAAACTTTAAAATTTTAGATATCTGTACATATTAATAAATTATGTAAGTATACATTGATATGTAATTCATACATTATAAATATGTACTAAAATATGCATGTAGATACTACACAAAACTTGGCTACAGAACCCAAAATATTTACTATCTGGCCACTTACAGAATATGTTTGCCAATCCTCATTTCAACCCATCTTGTTTACTGATGAGATTACAGTGCAAGGAACTATTTAACCTTATTTCAAACACCAATGACATGGTTTCCTGAAATTTTTCATACTACCTTCAAAAACATGCTCCCAACACTATATGCTTCTTCATATCCATTTTTCAGTTACTAGCTATGGGCTTAAGTTATAATTTCAATCTCAGTAAGTTACTACATTAACATTTTACCAGCTCAGCTATCTCATCTTTTCTTTGGGTACCAGGATTTGAATTTAGGACCTTGTGATTGTCAGCCAGGCATTGTGCCACTGATCTATCTATATTCCTGGCCCAGCTATCCCATTTTTAAAGCTGCTAACCTCAATGTCTAGCAACTTCAGCCACTACATATACATGTAATATAAATCTAAATTGACTTAGCTAAGTCTTATAGTTTTTCTATTTTGCCTGAATTGCTCTTTGGTCATGTAGTTTGGATGGGGTTGATCCTATCTGAATGAAAGTTAAAACAGCAGGCCTTGAGAATGTTACATGCAGAAAAGTGTTCTTTCAAGGTGGGTCCTTGGCTAGCATCTTGAACTTTTTTCAGGAAAGCTCCCAATATTCCATTACTGAGTGGCTCTCTGTACCCTACTGTTTGCTGATACAAAATGGTTCACACCTGCTTTTTGACTCGTCCTGCGAGTCAGGATGTGGGGTGATTACCTGGAGGAGGAATGGGGATGAACAAGACAGGGCAAGAGACACAAGAGACAGAGACAAGACAGGCTTTCTGATCAAGTCTCATTTATTGAGGAAGTAAATAGCCGTGTAGTGGAAGCAGTTGAGTGGGACTAGTTGTGGATTGGTAGCAGAGGTACAGGACCACAGGAAGATGCCAAGGCAAGCAGGGATTGATGCTGCAGCATTTCTTGCCCAAATAAGGGAAAGTGTAAGAGGAGCGTTCCATCGCTCCCCATGTCCCTTTTTATTAATTACATCAAGCGGGAAATTGACAGTGCCCTGCGGGGACAACGCCTGGCTTGGGTCAGGACTCCTTCATATGAGATCAACCAGACCTTACCCGTCTTGGGATTGCAGGGTAGCAGTAGGCCCTGTTCCTGTCTTAGGTGGTCGGCAGTAGTGCATGTAGGTCCTAGTTGCCCGTCATTGACTACTTGTCCATCTCACCAGGGAGACCTATATCAGATTAGGCCACATTATTATAGGGTCCATTTGGGGGAACCCTCTCACGATAATCTTGTTGATCTGCCATCTCCAGCTGATGATAATGTATCTGAATGGGCTTTGCAGCAAAGGCATCTAAACGTGAGCTAATGACGGATGTAAGCTTTTGAAAAATGCAAGGTCCTATCATGAGCAAGAGTAAGAGTGAAAAGAGGGGTCCCAATAGGGATACAAGGTAGGGGAACATCCCTCCCCATAGCAAGGAGAAGGGGTTGTCTGCAAGCTGTTGTTTCCGCTTGAGCACTTGATCCTGAAGCTCCCGAATTTTGTCTCGAACTATGCCTGATTTATTGGCATAAAAACAGCACTTTTCCTGTAAAGCAAGACATATTCCCCCCTACTCTGCTGTCAGAAGGTCTAAACCCCTCCTATTTTGCAAGACCATTTCTGCTAAAGAATCTATCTGGTCTTGGATATCTTGGATAGTACCAGATAGTGCTTGAACATCATCAATCAGCTGATTAGATAATCTGGTATAAGAATGTACTGCTACCCCCAACCCTACTGTGCCTGTCCTCATGGCAGCTGTGACTCCCAGCCCCACTAATAAAGGGATGAACTGGACTGCCCTCTTTGTGCAGCCCACAGCATAATCTAAACTGGGAAGGGGGACAGGATCATTACCAGAGATGACATCTATATCAGGCAATATAATTGCCATGACACACAGTCCTGTCCAGTTGGTAGGTAGGTATAAGAGGAGTGTTCCATCGCTCCCCACAGCTTTCCTTCTCATCGGTTAGAATTTTGCTGTGTGCTCAGGGCAAGGAAGCCAGGGAACAAGCTCCCAGTAAAAATCTTGGGCAATGAATTCGTAATGAACTCTGCTGGGGGCAAAGGAAGTCATAAAGGAGACAAATAGGAAATAGGTTCATGAAGAAGTTAATGTATTTCTCACTGGAAGAGAAGTAACAAGCTGAGGAAAGTGCATTCAACATTATCAGAAGGGTTAAGTAACATTTAATAATCTGCTGAATGTGGAAAATAGAGATCTCTCTGATCTTTAAGATGATAGAGATAAGTAAGGTTATCAAAACATAGTAACACAACTTATATCTATGGCACATAACCAACACTTTGTCATTAATGTATGATGGCATTTGATTTATTTTGACATGTTGTTTCTATTGACACAGAGCTTTTCCAAGCTCAACAGTTTTTAGTACAATAAAAGTTCAATACTTAAAAATGCTATACATTTTTAAACTTCCACTAGTAGAACAGTGGGTCATTCCAAATGAAGGTCAATTTTACAATGTTTTAGAGAGTTCATAAGAACAAGGCAAAATATCAAATACATAACTGTTCTTCTCAGCCTTGTCTTGTTCATTAAATCAGTAATACATTAAGAATATCTACTGTATCCTAGCCCTGATCTATGTATCACAAACCTAAATTTCTGAGAACCTCCCTGGTCCCTAAGCTCTAGCTCTTCAGTCTATATTCTTGTCATCCTTCACCAAGCCAGGTTCCTTGCCTCCTCTGACAGGAATGGGTCCTAAAACTATTCCCAGTGCTTCCACATCAAATTCCCACCTATGAATCTTCCTGCTCATAAATCCTGACCTCAGAGCATCCCATTTATTGCTGCTTACTTCTCCAGACAACACATCACAATACAATTTCCTGGGCACACTTGAACTGACATAAATGTTAGACAGAACTGAGATAGTTATGGTTACTAGCCTATACATTTACAAATGTTATGTAAAAGTATAGAATTTCCAATAAAAAGGAGGGGGAAAAATATTTGGAAGCATAAAACATTATCTATTGCCTTAAAGCAGAACCCCATTATAACAAAGTGTGGAAAAAGAATACATGTAGAAAATTCATGTTAAAATAGGCATATCAATAAATTAGAGAACAAAGAAAAGTAAAAGGTACCAAAGTGGCTTTTATTCATTAATTTTCCTTCAACTTATTGGTGTTATCATGAATCCCATTGAAAATTGGATTTGGACAAAAACTTTTTATGAAGCTATGTATTTAAGAACAGAAGGATAATTACATATTAGCTTATAGGTTTTTGTAAAAATAATTATGAAAAATAGTAGAAAATGAAAATCTGAAGTTATTTGAAAATGTAAGCAATTTCTCCTATATTTCAGTTTTGATCATTTTGCAGACTCAAGCATATTTGGGTAGAGTATTCTATTTTCATTAGCAGTGTAATGAACCCTTCAGAGCTTGGCATAGTCTTTAAGAATCATCTGAAGCTTCTGACTCAGCATGATGTTCCCTCTGGCCTTCAGTTTGCCACTGAAGAATGCCTGGAAGAGACACAGAATGAGAGTACCAAGAGTTATGTCATGTTTTGTTTTTGAAAAAGACAACTGTTTAGAATGGACACAACTAAGTTAATAACTCTGTATAACATAGGCATGTTTTATTTAGCAATGGAGAGCCTAATAACCATTGCACACAGGGCTGGGGAGATAACGCAGTAGAATAAGCGCCTGCCCGGCAAGTGCAATGTCCTAAGTTCAATCCCCACTACCACGGGGGGGGAAAAATTAGCGCTCATATTTTTGAGTAAGAAAAGACTCCTATGTATTCTAGAAAAAAATCATATAATCTATCTGAACTGAAAGGTCTGTCTTCTGTTTCAACCTCCCTTCATATATGTTCTCTTCTTACATGTCAATTTCAGGCCATATGAATAAAAAGCTTCTACTGTATTCCTAATAAAAAATATTGAATTGAGAACTTTCAAATCAGACTTAATGCATCTTAATTTTCAGACTTAATGCATCTTAAATTTTCATCAAATAGAAAACTATATAATAAAGCAACTTGGGGCCAGGGAGATGGCTCAATAGAATAGCGCTTGCCTGGCAAGCTCAAGTGCCTGAGTTCTTGGTTCTGCCAAAAATAAAAAAATAAAAAATAATAATAATAATGATAATAATAATAATAAAGCAACTTAATGCAGCACATTGGTTCCAGGAAGATAGTAGAGTGGTGAGCAGTATGCAAATAGCCTAAGATTTGGAGTTCAGAATAAAACCACATGAGGAACAGGAGGAAACAACCTGGAATCCAGAAATGAACTGAAATGAGAATTAGAATCCATGAGAGCAAAAAGAGGGACCTCAATGGAGAAGACAAGAGGTGGCAAATGATGCGTTCTCCTTGAGCCCTAGCTCATGGCATGGGAGGGTCAGCTTAAACCTGAAGAAGCACAATAATTACTACTGACCCCAGATGCCTCCACGGAGAAACACACCCATGGGATGGAACACTGGATGCTGTCAACTGCAGTGGCTGTTAAGTTATTCCATTTCCAAGGTCCCTCACAAATGGGTAACTGGCTGATCACCATATTGTAAAGAAGCCAACCAAAGTCAGAAATTGGAGCAGCTGCAGGTTGCCTCCACCTAGTAGCTCCCAGTATCAGGGTAAAGATCAGCCACAGGAGACCCTGAAAATCTGGGAGCCAAATTCAAGTTGGCAGGAGGCACCCAGGGTATTGCAGGATGAACAACTCCAACTCCAAGAAGCTAAAGCATGCAATGGAATGAAAAGTGGAGACTCACTAGGATTCTCCACCACTCCACCCAGTTCTACTTGCTGGGCTCAGTCAACACAGATCTGCATTCTGTCCATCTCCTATGTGTACTAGTGACAGTGGACACACACCCTGAAGTAGACTTTTTTTTTCTGTCTTTATCTTTTTTCTTGTTTGTTCTTTTTAAAAATATGAATGTGAACAATGCTTCTAATATCTTTTTGTTTTTTAGGTCTGTTGTTTTATCCTTCATTTCCCTCATAACTTCTTCACTAGTTTCCCAGGGCATGGGCAATCTTAGTGTGTCCTGCAGCCTTGCTTCTAATCTTTTTCTCTAATTTTTTTTTCCAAACTTGTTTTAAATCTTCTCTTCTGAGGGTAAAACTGCATACTGAGAGGACTTTTAATACATATAATTTTTTAGTTTTAGATTTTTATTATTTGACTATAAATCTTGTTCATACTATTACAGGTAGCAAATTAATAGTTACCAGTTGTCAGTTTTTATTTTATTTTTTAAATGTATTTGGCACAGGGTCTCACTATACAGCTCAGACTCATAGCGATCCTCCTGTTTTCAGTTTCCCCAGAGCTGGGATTACATGCATGTGCCACTACACCCAGACTCAATGCCCGGCTCAGTGCACCCAGGGGCAGGGCTGGTACAGCATGTGGTGCCGGGAATTGAATTCAGTCCCTGCATTTGCTTAAGCAGGGGCTTAGTCCACTAAGCTATCTTGCTGGCCCAGTGTGTCAGTTTTTAGAGTGTGATTTGATGCACGGCAACAAATGTTTTTCCTTGTATGCCAAGACTGAGATTACCTGAATGCTATAAACAATACTACAGGCCAGGGCCAAAGAACCAGGCATTAGGCCAAATAGGCAGCAACTTCTCATTCATAATTAACTGAGGAGGTAGGATTTTGAAGAAGACTCAAAACCCAAAAGCCAGCTACACCTGGAAAACATCTTCAAGTAGTAGTCATTTTCTAGAAGTTATTAATACCAGCAATAAAATTACACCATAAGCAACTTACAAACATAAACACAAAATTAAACTAAAAAAAAAAAAGCAAAGAAAGAAACTAAGAAAATACAAAGTAAGATGCAATCCCTGACTTCCAGCTTGCCCAAGGCAATCCAGCTGCCAGTGAGGTAGAACAATTCAGAAGCCATTCACTGTATTCCGTGAGGTGTAACAGCGGAAGTAACAAAGCAGATAAATGAGCCTTTAGAAAAAAATTGAATTAAATATAATTTCTCAGATAATTACAGAGATCATGATCATAATAAAGGACATGGTATACAGAATCTAGAGGATGTAGATTAAAAAATAGAGGAGCTGAGAAAAATTATGGAAACCATAAACACTCAACATAGGAAAGAAATGAAATCCATGAAACAGATTCAGATATCCAGGAGATTAAAACTTCTACCAAAAGTATACATAGAATGTAAGGACAGAATATCAGCTCTAGAAGACAGGATTGTGGCAAGTAATCATGAAAAGAAACATTTCTTAAAAATAGCAAGAAACCACAAAAAAATCCAACAGATGTTAGATGATGCAAAGAATAACATAAGATTGATGAGAGTCAATCGAGAAAGCAGGAGGTAGCACAAATGACATAAAAGGCATGTTCATAGAAGTAATGGTAGAAAATTTACTAAACATGGAAAAAGAATTTGACATACACATAATTAAGGCATACAGAACTCTAGCCGTAATAAAAAAATCTATACCAAGGCATCTAATAGTCAAGATTCCAGAAATTCAACACAAGAGCAGAATACTAAACCCTGTTAAGAGAATAGAAACAAATTATCTCTAAAAAAAAAACCTACATCAGAATCATATCAGACTTCTCAATATAAATCCTTAAGTCAAGGACAGCTTGGAGTATTTCAAGTCCTAAAGAAAACAACCTTTACAACAGTTGTCTCATTAAAATGTCTGGTATAAAACTCAGGTTCCGCCATTTTTTAGTGTGGTCAAAATGGGCAAATCACTTAATCCAGTCTCTTCACCTATAAAATTCATTACAACAGAGCTAAATAACACAAATTATGTCATGTGAGTTAAATAAAATAATATGTAAGGTGTTTTTCTGTTATTAAGCAAAAGGATGTCATATTAAGATGAAATTTCTATACTAATTCTATGAGATTCATCACATAAACTTTTGCAAATTGCTTAAGTCTTACCTCAATGTAAATTCTCTGTCACCAAAATAAAAAATAATTTTTATAGTTCATTAAGAAATTAACGCTTGATTATAATTTGGTCATGGTAGTGTAAACCTATAAACCCAGCACTGTGGAGGCTGAGGCAGGAGGATCACTGCAAGTTAGAGACCAACTTGGGCTACAAGCTCAGAGCCAGCCTGAACTGCATAGTGAGACCCTGTTTCAAAAACACAAAACAACAATAACAAAATTAACACAAAAAAAGTAAAGTGAAAAAACAATTCCTAGGTTTTTAGCTAACTGGAAAAAAAAAGCAGTATCTCTATATATTTAGCATTATAAAATAGCTCCATAAATGATTTAATTTACAACCAGTCATTAATATGGAGAGAATATACATCAGCAGTTCTCATCTTTTTGAAAGAAAATTGAATTTCAGAGAGTTCTGAAAACCTGCATAAAGCCACAAAGCCAAGAAGTAATATTTTCTTGAATAATAGGGCAACTTTTCTTGAATAATAGGGCAAGTTCCTTCAATGCAAGGAACCACAAAAAAATCCAACAGATGTTAGGTGATACAAAGAAGAATAACATAAGATTGATCAGAGTCAATCAAAAAAACAGGAGATAGCACAAATGACATAAAACACATGTTCATGGAAGTAATGGTGGAAAATTTCCATTGTATCTTATTATAGTTCAATAATACCTCCTGCCTGTCAAATAGCTCTTCATCAACTGGAGAAAAAGCAAAAACTTTTTTATCATAGAAATAATTCCTTCAAGATCAAATGGTAGGCATTTAAACACAAGACAAAGATTTCAAAACAGAAACCATATTTTTCAGTTCTTACAGGGAAGGAGTAACTATTTAGACCAGACTGCCAGGTAGGAAGCTTGAGAGGGGCATGCCACTTAAATTAGGGATACTTAATAACTTGAAGTATATATGCCAACATTTGATGGTTTTCTTCCACTTACATCAATTTTGCTGACATAATTTAATTATTCTTTATGGCTAAATGATACACCACTATGAATATATATCACATTTTATCAATCATCTGCAATAGAAATTTAGGCTTATTCCATATCTTGGCTACTGTCAATTACACCACAATAAATATGGTCATTCAGATATTTCTTTGTTATGCTAATTTGACATACACATTGGGATGGGATAGATGGATAATATGGCAGTTCTAGTTTTTGAAGAATCTTCACACCATTCTCCATAGTGGCTATAGTAATTTACATTCATGCTAGTACTACACAAGGGTTTCTTTTCTCCACAATCTCACCAACATTCTATTTTATAATAATCATGTTAATTAGGTAAGATTATATCTCATTATAGTTTTGATTTTTTTCTTTGGCTGCTAAATAACATTTTTAGCACATATTGTTCTCATTTGTCTTCTGACTTCTTTTTATTTTTAACATTTTTTATTCAGAAATAAATATGAATGAAACAGTTTCACAGCTGATTAATAGAACAGTTTTGATAGTCAATACACTGTACATTGTTATCTTCTTAGTGGTTATCCATAGTACAAGAAGCAGACAG